ACTCGTGCGAGTCGAGCCCTTGTTGCGCAATCGCCACCATATTGATTACTTGCGCCCTCAGAGTCGGGCTGCAGTCGCAACTGCAGTGAGCACTCAACTCAAAGCGACCCCGAGTACGATTTGAGCGGATTGCAGGGTTGGCAGATGGCCCCGAGCCAATCTCGTGGGACGGGTGCACAGCTGCCGACGCGGAACACCCCAACCATGAGAAAATACCGTCCCCTTTCAAGGATGTTTTGAATCTGGACCCCAGCTCTCAAATGGTTCCTCCCGCTCTTTTCGGTGGGTTTTAGCGAGAATCCTTTCCCGAGATCCTTCGAAAGCCTCTCAGCTGGGACCAGGGCCCAGGAAGAGCGATGCTGAATGGTTCATGAAATGGAAACGATGAAGTTGGTGTGAAGCAATTGTGAACCACACACGAGAACGCAGCAAGGGTCGGCGGAGCATCACATGCGTTCCTCGACGGTGTGAGCTGCCTCGTCCGTTATTAGAAATCGCCCTGAACGAGAAGCTCAGCCCTAGCCCTAAAGAACCACCGATATGCGCTCAAGGCGGTTAAACACTAAGGGACATCTAGCATACCCTGCGACTGCCCCCAGGAACTCCCCACACTTAACCGCCGACTGGTTCGTTTTGCTGACCACATGCAGCGCCGAGCAAGGTGCACAGTCGAAACTCTTGATGGCTTCGATGGGCCCAGAAGATTTCCAGTTCTATATCGAGGGGCCAAGTGACGCAGATAAGGTTCGTCCGTAGAACGACCGCAGCCATATATTGATGTCTTCACCGTCTCTTTCTTGATTTTCACTCACTGACTTGTCTCTCCTTTTTGTTCTACAGCGCAATAGGCGTCTATCGATATGTCCGAGCCAGCCGATGAATACGTGAAGCGGGGTTACTGGGTCAATTGGAATGATGGGGCTATCATGGGCCGCACGATAACAGTAGAGTCGAGGACGGGCAATCTTATCATTGCCCTCCTCACGATCCTCGCTTCGGTGGCATCGGCGCAATTATGGAACCTCGTAACGTTCTTCTACCACCAGCATCGAGCGAGAGGAGCGCCCGCAGACGGCCTGTTTTGGCAACAGCAGGCCTTACTACGAACGTTGCCAACGCCGACGTCTTTAATGGCCGACTCGGCCAAGCTCTGGTGGGCATGGAGAAAGAGAGCTGACCGTCCAATCCTTCGCTCAGCGATACCGATGTCAGTGGCAATGCTCTTTGCTATTGCTGCCCTGGCCGCTGGTATCTTTTCCAATTACCTAGTCAACTCGTCCAATATCGAGATCATGGTCGACAGCCCGTTATGCCGATATATCAACCTCACCACCTTCTGGTCATCTCTGTCAAATCCTGAGTGGAGCAAGTTGAATCAGGTATGTCTTCGGAACACGAAAGCGGCCTTCAAGTATTCCATTGGTGGCTAACATCCTCAAACAGGCAGTCGAAGCATATACTAGAAACTGCTATGCGAACGAGTCCTCGGTCCCTTCAGCTTGCACCAACACCTTTACACGGCCAGTTCTTCCTATTGCTCAGTCTCGCACAGCATGTCCATGGAACAACTCCTCCATGTGTCACCCGGGAGAGTTGCCCGCCACAACCGTGGATACTGGTTTGATGAACGTCAATGAATGGCTTGGCATCAACCTAGCTCCTAAGGATACTGTCCGGTTCCGCAAGAGAACGACCTGCAACCCTGTGCCTATCGACGGACGCGCCGATGTCAGACCAATGTCAGATTTTGCTGAACTCACAGTGTATCCCTCCAAGCCAGGAGAGGAGGCATTAGCTCTTCGGTTTGGGACTCTGCCCGCGCCTGAGGACGAGTTTCCCGAATATACGTTTATCTCAAGTTTGACGAAGGCCAACTGGACAGATACATTCACAGGACGGTACGTAGCCTGGCACTGCATCTTGGGAATCACGCTGATGTTCAAACAGCGGCCGAATATCCTACACAACGGATGATCCAGTGTTGTCTTCAAACTCATTCAAGCCAATACCGGGAATGGAACGAACAGATGCCGATGTCATTGTGGACTTGATCAGCAGTACGAAACCCTGGGGTACAAAGTGCCTGCGTTGTGGACTACATGAGTTGGCCCCTAGGGCTTCTTAACTGTAACAGAACGTAACATAAGGCTACTTTGTTCCCGTCCCTACCTTTGAGAACTACACTGACTTTGTACCCCCACATTTAGTGAACAGTGTCTGGTTCAATGAGCCTGTTAACGACACCCTGTACTCTGCTCATCGACAATACAGTTACACCTATAACGGCAGGAACATCACAATATACTCGCCTGATCAATTCGCAGGTGTGATTGGATGCGCCGAGCAGTATCAATTCTGTCTCAAGCACAACGACACCTGCACAGGTTTGACGGCTTTGCCAACTCAGTTCGAACAGAAGGACTTCCCGACCGCGAGTGACGTCCAGCTTGCAGTATTACGCACCCTCAGGATTCTGAGCGTTTTCAACGATCTCTCAAATGGCGGTATCCTGCAGTTATTCCAGGCCAACGATCTCATCTCTGCTGCAGTTCTCCGCACTCTTCCAGATGACCAATGGGTCGACGACGTTACATTTTGGGAATCCTACGCCCTAGCTGGCATTCAAACCATGCTCTCAGACGTCGCAGTAGGGCCGATCCGCCGCGACGCGAACGCAGACTCATACACGGACCCGCCTCAGACGGCAGGCGAACACGAACTTTGCAAGTCTATGAAGATGCGGAAAGCTGGTGGTTTTGCAAATGTCAACGTCTTCGGTCTCTCCTTCATCGTCACCTTCTCCGTTATTGTGACGGTACTTAATCTCACAATCCTGCGCTTCATCCTCTTCTTGTCAAAGTTCCGACATGCTCTCGGGCCGCGCCTTGAACGCTGGGCTCAGGACGGCTTGTTCCAGCTCCAACGCCGTGCTTTCGACGCCCACGCTGAGGGCACCTGGATTCGTCTCGAAGACGAGATTCCTGTTACCGAGACGGACTCGCGGATGGCGGAACTCCCAGTCGAGAGCATGCCAGTCTTCGCCGGTGAGAAGAGCTTAATGAGAGGCAAGACGTGGAGGACAGATGTTACTGCTGTGACTGAAAGCGGGTCGTGGAAGGAGAAGGAGGATCTGGAGAAGGTGCCGACGTATGAGAGTGCGAAGACTGAGAGCAGTGATCGAGTGGATGAAATAAGGAGTGTGGATCCGGAGGATGAGAGGAGTTATCTGCCGAAGAAGGTCTTGGACGATAGGGCTACGAGGAACAGGGATAGATGAGGTGGGTGCCTTTTGCTTCGTCTTGATCTCCAAGGGTATTCTTTTCATTTGTATATTTTCTTTTCGAGAATTAGCGTGGAGTTGGATGGGAAACGGAGTACACACTGTTCTATGGCGCGGAACGGGTCGTATGCAGCGACGAGTCATTTCTTTAGTACCTCCACTACATATTCTAGAGATCTGCTTGGATTCACTACTATCCACACTCCGACTCTTTGCTCGGCAATACAACGTAAGCATCGCTCTCCCCAAACACCCGATACCAAGCCTCCCACACAACACATCACAAATTCGACACCTTGTGCCAATAATGAAACCCCTCCACCTTCTTCACCCCCGGCACATCCTCCAACCAACTCACCCGATCCTTCGTAAACTGCTGCACCTGCGGCTTCAGCTTCGTCTCCATCAAATTGAAATCATCCACAGTCCCCACGCGCAGCACGTTGATCCCCGGAAACCCCTCGCCGGTCCGATTCATAAGCGTCCCGCACGTCTTACAGAAATGATTCACCATCGCTTTCCCGCTGACGGGCGTTTTGGTGGTACTGAACTCGGTGAGGTTTTCGCGCCCGCGCGTGTACCGCACGTACTTGTCCATGCAGCAGAAATTGGTTGCGAACATGGAGGAGTGGATCTTATGGCAGTCGGTACAGTGGCAGAGGAAGTTCCCTTCTGGGATCAGGCCTTTGAAGCCCTGGGGGCGTTAGCAGTTTCGAGCGATGCGAGGTTTGGTGGGGTATGATGTACGAAGACTAGCTGCACGGCGCCGCAGAAGCATGTCGCTGTTGCTTCGTCCTCGTTGGAGAAGCCGTCGTCGGTTCCTTTTGAGAGGGCTGGGATGTAGGGTTTGGATTTGTTGGCGTCTCTGACGGAGGGTTCTTCGCGGGCGTGGTGGGACATGGTTGTGGCTACTATCTAATACAACTGCTGGATAACTATGAGTAGTGCGCACTCGGATGATGCTTAAACTATGAGGGAGTCAAGTATCAAGCCGCTGACTTTACATGTATCTCTCGAATATCGGCTTGGGCAACACCTTCTGACATACGAAGTGCATCTATACCTCGGTTGAATAGTCCCGAATGCCGCCTGTGACGTGAGACTGCAAGATAGCTAAGCCGAACAATGAGTGGGGTGCCGTGGGTGCCTGATTCACGCATAGAGAGAACAGCATATGTGGTAGATGTTTAGTAATCAACCACCCTGAGTATCCACATGGCTCGATTAGGCTTAACGAGTTTATGGTCGTTAGTGAAATCAAGTAATGAGTTGGTAGGTTAAATTATGGGACCTAGCCAGCCTTGAGGCGGTCTTCATCTTCGGCATGAAACCTGATATTGATGATATCGACCGGGGAAGGGCTTGCACTACTGGAGCTTCACACGGCCTTGTATCCAACGAGTATCAAGCTTAAATTCAATTAAAAGGTGCAGTCAACCGTACAGCGTAGACCAAAGAGAGAGAATGAACATCACAACTATTGTAACGTTGAACTTTCCTTCTGAACGTTAATAAATCTTTCTAGTAGTAAACCAGCATCTTAAAGATAGTTCGAATGACCGTTGTGGTAGGAAATGAGAAGCGGTAGGTCCAACACATCCCCTAGGATCTCCACGCAGTGAAGCCAACCATAAAATTTGGTAGGGTAAGGTCTGGAAGGAATGTTGAATAAAAAATTTGAATCGAAGGACAAAAAGAGATTGATCAACTCAACCATAAAAGGGCAGAACCGGAGTCGAACCGGTGACCTAAGGAAGGAAGCTTGAATATGCTGCAGTCCTCCGCTCTACCACTGAGCTACCGGCCCTAGGACATTTATTAAAATTTGGAAAAAGATGTATTATATAGAGAGTTTCTCAGCAAATGAAATATTTCGATAAGCGTTCCGCATTCAATGTCAAACGCTAGCTAGTAAGAGCCGGCGGGGATGCAATCTCTAAGCGATTCGGGCCCACATCAAGCTCCTGCAGCGAAGCGACTCTTCTCACATCGACGTAAGGCCCCCACGGCGTGCCATCGGTACATTTGATACCATGTTTCCCTTTCTGTCGTTCCAATACTGTTTATATCACAGAAGATGCAATAAGTCGTGCAGCAGAAAGCATTCTAGGTTCAGTTCTGCAAGGATGTTGTGGAAAGCGCAGCACGGCTGGCCCAGGGATTTTTTCCGTTCCGAAGTTTTAGAGAAAGTCGGAGCGAGAGATGCCTTGCCGCCAGCAGAGAAGAAGAGAAGTCGTACTGTGAGTAATAGCATCATTAGATTCCCATATACCACTTATTACATTGTGTCACCCAGTCGAAGCATTTAATACCCCGAGAAGAGGTAGGAGAGACTGGTTGAGACTTAAAGCGTGCATGGTTATGTTCGGAGTCGTGTCGCCATAGATCACTGAGGAGGTCCTCAACTACTACGAAGAAAGCAAACCGGCTGCGCTCTTGCGACGGGTAAGGCTCCCTCTGTTAATAGTAGAGCTTGATGTATGAACTTTGCATGTCTTTGACCTCCCTTTCTTGTGCACGCAACGTTCGTGAAAGGCATGAAACAGTCTGATGAGTTCCAAAACTTTCCACCAGCACACAGATGTCAAGTTGTCCCCAATGTTTCATGTCAAGTTCGAACGAAGAAGTACAAATAGTAGTCTGCTGTTTACCTACTAAGTTGCACTTTCAACGTTCGATCACCACATAGGTAGAAACTCACGTAATGAACTGAAGCACTCGTACATGATCCACTCTTAAGGAGGATCATCTCCATCCTCAGATAAGCACAATCTGTCGAATTGCACAATCTTTGTCATCCGCTGTTTCGACTCAGGTCCAATAAGGCAGCAGACATGTGAAGCGAGGAGGTGTGAGAAAATGTTGGGAGGTATGAGAATCAGGGTCTACGCCCTCGGACGGCACTGCAGCGTAAGGGATTTCAAGACAAGGGTGCAGTAGAATAACTCAGGGATTCTAGAAGGCAACAGCTCGCGAGAACATCCGAATGTACTACCTTTCGTAGATTTAGCAAATCTGAAGATGAGGGGCGGAAACTAAAGGATTGGAAGATGCCTACAAGTCGCTTACTCCGCACAATGCCCCACCTAAGCCCACCCAGCGTAGTCTAGCCCATTCCTGTGAAGCCGGCAAGCGGGTTAAGAATTGAAAGATGGGATTCGAGTCTGCCGTCCGCACTATCAAAAGAACGTCGCATCTGCGGACTTGAATATCATGTATATATAAATAATTACTTGAAAAACTTAGAAATCGCATCGATAGTTTAGGGGTAGAATTGAAGCTTCCCATTCTCAATGTCTGCTTCAGGCACGGGTTCGAGTCCCGTTCGATGCAATTCCCTGTGTTTTTGCCCTGGTTGGGATCTCCAATTTTTTGGCAGATGGTGCGATTGAGTTGCGGGGTCGTGGGAGGCTGCGGCGGCCGGGTGCTTGCATTTTTGCCGCGGTTATCTGCATGAACGGCAGGTCAAGGCGGACCTGTGAAACATTGAATGGTAACCAGTTAGTTTGGGCTGCGAGATTTTGGTGAGAAGGGAACGAGGCGCTTGGGACTACAAGACCCAGAATGGGCTTTAGCAATATCAGCTAAGCGAGTAAAGATGTTAGTAGAAGTTAGCTGCTGCCCTGCTGTGGTGAAGATGGATCCATTCACGGTTTTTTTGCCAAGTGCAGCAATAGATATCTGATTATTCTGCTTCAATTAACGACACAACGTCAGTGAACGTTGCGACGTATTAACATAAGGGGTAAAGAAGCAAAAATCTATCTACCTGTAAATCGTTCAAGGCTTTGATTGTACATAAGTAGACTATGACGATTTACAATCATCAAGAGATCTAACAGAGTTGCTAAACAGCCATCCTTAGACTTAATCGTGGAATTAATAAGTATACTAGAAGTTATACAAAAAAATTTCAATTATGCATACGCACAGTTTTGCAGGGACTACGCAGCGTAGCATAAGGTCAAGAACACACTGGGTAAGTGCATCTAATGATTGACACTAGTTTTGAGAAGAATATGTTATGCCACGACATTATTTTTCATTGGATGCAGGTTTGGGTCAGATCTATCGCTTATATCGCTCTTCCATCCTCCCAAATTCCTCACTCCCCAAATTTCCCCCACCAAGCCATCGCCCCAACGATCAGACCCCCAAACGGCCAGATCTTAAAGAGCCTCTCCAACACCCTCTGCCCAAGAGGCTTATCCTTCTCCTCAACCGGAGCAGGCGACTCCCTCCTCCTCACCTTCTCATAGATATCCGGCAGCGCCTCAGCATGGTATTTCTTCCTCGCATCCAGGTACCGCTGTTTGTCATAAATAGACCAGAACTCGTCTTCAGTGTAGAACGAGTACGCGTAGAGCACTTTCATTCCACGGAGGCGGTTGAGGACGGACTCCATGCGGCGGTTTACGCGGCGGAATTCGGGAGGCGAGTCCGGGCCGGTGCCCCAGACGCCGAAGTTGATGAACAGGTCTTCTTTTTTGGAGAGCTTGTGTTTGCGGAGCTCCCCGTTACTGCTGGCCCCCGAAAAACTAGAAGATGGCCAGATGGGCCAGCCCCAGACGTGGCTCATTTCGCCTTTCACTTGGTCTTTGCCCCCGATGGGACAGACCCAGAGCGGCCAGATGCCTAGTTCGTCGATCACGTAGTTTGCAAACTCTTCGGCTGTTGCTTTGGGGATGATCAAGTCTTGGACGATGTTTGTTTCGGGTCCTCCATTTGCGTGCATGTTCTTGTAGACGGCTCGCGTTGTGAGCGCAGGGTTAAAGAACCAGCGGAAGAAAGCATTGTTTGGGATGGCAAAGGTGCTGAAGAAGGTGTCGCCGGACCAGAAAGCGCCGCGGTCGTGTCGGAAGAGGTAGGATGTCGTGGGGACGAGCTCGACGTGGGTGTTGGCTCCGGAGTCGGCTGTGATACCGCGAGCGTGCTGGTAGAACCAGGGATCTTTACCGCGGTCGAAACGTTGGACGCGTGTGTTGGGCTTGGAGGCTGAAGCAGCCAGGCGGCCTGTGGTGACCACGCCGTGAGTGGTGCTGAATTGGATACCTTCGATGAAGTCGAATCCTCCTTGCCCCATCTTTGTTTCCTTTTCATACTCTCCTTCACAGAGCTCTGCTACTTTGTCGATCGTCGACTTGACGGATGTGGTGCGATGGTAGGTTACTTCTACAAAATCCTTCGCTTCGATCAGTCGTACTGTGAGGAGAGTCACGACGCCCAAGGTTCCGAGAGCGCATCGCGCCATGCTAAACAAATCTGCGTTATCGCCTCCTTTCTCTGCACGGACTGTCTCGCCATTACCGAGGATGACTTCGATAGAGGTAATGGAACAGTCGAACAGCCCTTCTCTCCAGCTCGAGCTTTCGGCACTTGCACCAGAGAAGCCGCCGCCTACAGTTATGCCTGGGAATTCCATGACTACGGGTGGTAGTAATCCCTGTTTCAGTGTCGCGGGAACAAGCTTATCGAGCGGAACATTTGGCTCTACGATTGCGGACTTCGAATACTTGTCAACTGAGATAATGTTATTCAGGTGAGCGATGTTGAGTTCAGGAGTGCCTGCAGCTCGCACGCGTGTGCTGTTCGTAGAGCCATGATTGATCCGGAAGGGCGTCTTGGATTCGTGGAGAGTCTTGACTTCATTCGACAGCTTCTGCACGGCAATGTCGTGGTCGTGAGGGGTGTATGCCATGATGGAAGCAGATCTGCAGCAGGCCCAATCACGATCAGATGCCGTGGGCTATAGCAGTGTTGGTAAAGAAAGGGTGTCCGAACCAGGGCCTTTCGTAGAGCGGCGAGGCAGATGATCTGCACTCCACCGCTTTGTCTGATGACTAGTATTGTTGTGAAGAACTTCCGAATCCGTTACCAGCACTCCTCAAAGGCCACTCCACATTCGCTGCATGTATATGTGATTTAGCTGTGCCTGACCAATTCGTGTAGTGAGAAACACCTCCAGCATTTGCAGAGCTTAATTCTGCTGCGTGCGCATAGGACACGGGATTTTGCACACTCTTGCACAATCTGGGAATTCAGAGTTGCTCAAAATCCTCTTGGTGTAACCTCGTGAAAGAGAACAATAGGAACGTGGAATGCCGTACAGGAAGATTATCAGAAACTCAACTTACGGAGGTAAAGAAAGAAGCTATGGGTATCATTTCGTCATTTATTTGGTCCAGCAGTGCCGGCATATGGCGCCACATCACGTCTCTTGTTCGTTTGTCGACTGAAGCTCGTCTCTGCTCTCTCTCCAGTCGAGAAACTCCTTGCTCAAGACGCCGCCAGTACCTTCTGCCCTCACCCTCCCAACCTCAATAACCCCACTCTTTTTCTTCAGTGAGATCTTGTACACGCCCTCTTCAGTTAGCGTCTTCTTCAGATGATCTAGAAAGGCCGTAGCGAAGTTTATGCAGGTGTTGCCGTCCCAGCACCTCGTCCCTCTCCTCACCATACCAGGAATCTGGTTCGTCTCGTAGACGTCTATGACACGTAGTATGCCCTGTTTCGAGCGAAAACCGACTATGACCTTGGATACACCAAGCAGGAAAGATTGCGCCCAAAACTTCAACAGCTTCCTCTCGTACTTGAGAATGTCCCGCTCAGAAGGATAGCGACCAAGCTCCTCGGTTGTCTTGAGCTCTACCCACGGTATTGGTGCATCTGGGTGCTTTTGTGGGTCCGGCTTTGGTCCCCATAATCCGTCTACCTCGCCGCCCAGTATTATTGAGTGTGGTCCGAATCCTGTGCGCACGATGGAGCAATGCTGGGCGTGATTTGATACGACCGCTTTCGTCCTGTTCT